ATCAATTGCTCACTATGGATTTAGAAAAGGGTCATTGGTGAAGAAGAATAGCTATTACTGAGAAAAGCTAAATCCTTCTTACTCTAACACCTTTAAGAAATCCTTTGGCATTTCCACTGCAACTTGGAGCTTTATCCCAGTCCTAGACAGTTATGTTAAGGTACATGTAGAAATGCACAAAAATACTGTGGGCTTATCTTAATATTTTGGAAGAATAGCTTTCCCCCTCTGAATCCATCTGGTTTTACTTAGAAGTGAGATATTGACTCAACTTTATGCAGGTAAATGTAAAAGATGTTAAGTCTCATTCTTCTTAGTAAAGTATCACAAGAATGGAAAAATAAATATCCAATGTACTCCATACTAATATAAAATCAATATATAAACAATTACATGCTCATAAGAACAATAAAACACTAATATAGTCCAGTTTGGGGGTATAGGGAAGTGGGAGGGGGAAGGGGAGAATGTTTGGCAGAAGGAAGGAGGGTATGAGGTGGGATCTCACCTAATGTGCACATTCTGAGGGTGTATAACATATCCCCTAGGCAAGGGGCTCTTTTACAAATGGAACTTTACTCTGGAAGTGAGAACAATATAACCTAAAAATTGTACCCTCATATTAATTTGAAAAAAAAAAGAAAAGAAGTGAGATATCATGTGAGAGAAAGCAGTCTGTGCTCTCAAACACTTCCAATACTCTGCCACATTTCCCAGATAACCTACATTTAGGCAGGAGCAGACATCTGACTAGTCCTCGCCAATGAACCTTGGGCAGGGTGAGGAAGAGGACATATGTTACATCTGGTTTTAAAGACAGAAGAACAAGTATAGAAGCTCTCTTTTCCTTTACCACAGGGACTAAGGATGCCTTGTATCCTAGTAGGGCCAGTTACAAGATGGTGGGAAATTAGTTGTGCCCATATGATATCTCTCCTATTTCCCAAACTCTTATCTGTAACTTATGTTTCTCCAAAGTAGTTTATCTAATTGTTTGCTTAACAATTTTTACTAGGTTCAGCAAGAGGCATTTCATTTTTGACAAACCTAAATTTGATTCTACAACTTTTCCAAGGTTCACCTTTCCAGTAACTAACACAAATACACATATTCATTGATTTTCTCAGGGCAAAAACATTAGAGTGATTCTCTTGACCTTGCACATTAGCCATTCCTGTTGGCTCTATATTTCACAGTATATTCTCAGCCCTCTTCTACTACCATCCTGATTTTACTTTCACTCATCTCTTGCCTAGAAGAGCATTGCAATAACCTCCTCACTAGCCAACAACATCTTACGTTACTTCACTTATCCTTTATTTACTGTTGTCTGTTCTTTAGAGAATATGTTCAAAATATAAATCAGATCATGTCACTCTCTTGTTCAAAAGCTTGCAGTGATTTTCCATTGAGCATCTCTTAACAATTACATGAAGAACTTTCATGAAATGGCTCTTGGTTATCTCTGAAGTCATTTATACTCACTTCATTCTAGTCACACTGGCTTGTTACCTTTCTTTGATTTTTTTCAAACATGCCAAGTTCATTCACATTTCACAGAGCTGTGTATGTGTCTTTCCTTCTGTCTGGAATGGTATTACCTGGAAATTCAGGAGTTGTCCTTCACTTGACCCAAATCTTGCTCAAACTGTACTTCTTCAGGTTTACCCTGACCTTCCCACCTTAATCAGTCCTTTCCTTTCATCATCCTGAATCATGCTCTATTACTCTAATCTGCTTAATTTTTCTCTATGGTACTTTTTCTATAGCTCTATCTAATATCACATTACAGATTAATTTGCTCATTGCCTCCTCAAACAAAAACTTTGGATGAATAATTTTATCTCTTGAAGCTTAAATTTTCTACCTGATAATATCTTACAGGATACTGTAAATACTAAATAAATAACATCTAGAAAAGTCCTAACACAATAATTGACAAAAAATAATTGCTTAATACCTATTATATATTGTATTGAATATCAATTATTTTCCATGCCCACATGCATTCTGCCTTCTGGTGAAAGGACTTCAGTTTTCCTTGATCCACTATTCCTGCCTCACTTTCAGTTTGGGTGCTTAGAATAGGGCTGGCTTCCTTTAGTGTCCAGTTCTATTTGGGGGCATATTTCACTAGAGAATTGTG